AGATAGTCTTCAATGCGGAGCTGCTGGTAAGTCCTGTGTTGTGTCGGGGTTTCAGCATCGTGCCTTTGCTTGCCTGTGTCTGTTGCAGACTGCCTTCGACAACACTGCACCCATCCTCGAGATATGGTCCCACGACGATGAGGTGCTGAAGCCATTCCATGTCCTCGAGATGAAATCAGTCAAACTAGAGAGCAAGAACGCTCGATACGCCAAAGATGTCGGCTCCGTCTACGGGCAGCTTTACGGCACGCTGGGCAAGGTCGTGCTGGCTGAGGCACCGACTGAAGCCACCTTCCCATCCAATGCGATCGACACCAACAGTTCTTCCACGTATCTGGCAAACCAGCAGGACCTGCTGCTCACTCTGGAGGCGACGAACACGTTTTACATATATCTGAGAGGAGCCGGCAACACCACGACCACAGCGATCCTCAGCGGCTATAAGTTGGAGCTGCACTTCTTCCCCCTCACCCTTTGGGACGTCGGTGACGTGTGTGTCGTCGAGATTATCTTGGCAGACTTCACGGTCATCGATGCTGTCGTCTGCACCCCACTCTCATTCAGCAATAGAGGGGTATGCGACAAGGTCCATCGTGTCTCTTCACATTGCCGTGTTCCGTCAGAATCGGGCGGGCATCCAAGTGACAGTACCGACCGAAGTCGGCCGACTTCACGATCAGACACGCATCTTTCTCGTGGTCAAGAAGCTGCGGCCTCCGAGTGCTGGCTTCTACCCAATGCGAATCGGAATCCAAGTCACCATTCCTGTAAGACCACACGAAAGAATGACACGTTGCAATGGTCGATCATTCAGCCGCTGTGTTCGTCTGTTGTGTCAGGACGGCACCTCACCCCAGTATTACGAGAGTGAAGGGAGGCGGCTGTACATGAACGCCACCGTCGCACAGGCGTCGCTCGTCACCAAGTATGGTGATGGCAACCGGAGTCCTTACAAGGGGGACGCCAGAACACTCTGTACGCCAAGATCGTCATGGGAGCGATCCTCTACAGCCCTGGTAGGCCAAAAGGATCACAGCCTGCATTTGTACACATTGATATGCGTGTGTCTCTAGATGACAGCTTACTTGTGATTGAGATGCCTGAAGGCTACCAGTGCACAGCCGCCAGGGAGCCTCCAGACTTGCTGCGAGTCTATGGCAGCACAAGGCCTGTCGGTGTGGGCCGCCTGAAAGAGCAAGGCGGGTGGAGCATCCCTGTGCCCCCCAACAATATGCATGTCTGCCGCTACACTCTACCCAACTATCTGACGCTCTTTTCTGGCACGCCGATCTTGATCGAGTTTGAGGTGACGAATCCCTCGACGCCCCTGCCACCCTATAATCCAAGCAATGCCTGGAACATCTCAGTGCAGGTAACGACGCAACTGCACAATTTCCGTGTCTCGCCTACGCGATTGATGCTTGTTGTTCTGCAGTCCAGGCGCCGCTATGACCCCTCCAAGACACTGAGCATCCTGACGGGTGGCGATCCTTTGGTATCAGGCTTCAGGAAGCGCTTCGCAGGCAGCGGAGACTTCTCGGGCAACGTGGCCGTCCTGGGCAA